CCAATCCTGCCCTCCCCGCACTGCACAGTGATGAGTTTGCCAGTTCTCAGCACCACGATGTTCCCTGAGCGCCCGCCCGGAGCTGACATCCCAAAATTCCCTGAGAACCCACCTGGAGCTGGTCTCCCCCAATTCCCTGTGCACTCGTCCAGAGCCCGGGTCCAAAATTCCCTGAGCACCTACTCAGAGCCAGCTTCCCAAAACTCCCTGAGAACCCACCCAGAGTTGGGGTCCAAAATTCCCTGAGCACCCACCAGGACCCGACATCCTAAAATTCCCTTGGGCAGCCACCCGGAGTAGACATCCCAAAATTCCATGGCACACAAGGCGCAATGGCATTGCCATGATGCCGGCACGCAGCGGTTTATCCCGGTATTCCCTGGAAATAGAACCCCAATCCTGCCCTCACCACACCACGGAGCTGGGAAGTGTAGAAGTGATGAGTTTGCCAGTTCTCAGCACCACAATATTCCCTGAGAGCCCATCTGGAGCTGGTATCTCCAATTCCCTGTGCACTCACCCAGGGCCAGTTTCCCAAATTCCCTGAGCACCCACCTGGACCTGACATCCCAAAATTCCCGGGGCACTGGGCACCCACCCAGAGCTGACATCCCAAAATTCCATGAGGCACGAGGGGCGACAGCACTGCCACGACACCGGCACGGGGTGTTTTATCCCGGTATTCCCTGGAAACACAACCCCAATCCCGCCCTGCCCAACCACGGAGCGACGAGTTTGCCAGCTCTCAGCACCACAACATTCCCTGAGAGCCCATCTGGGGCCAGCATCCCAAAATTCCCCGTGAACCCACCTGTGGAGCTGGAGTCCCCAAATTCCCCGAGCACAGCACCCACCTGGAGCCGGTGTCCCAAGATTCCCGGTGTCCCAGGATTCCCGGTGCCCGCCCCGTCCCCGCGGGTGCCGGTGCCAGCCGTCGGTGCCTGTCCCAGCCGGTCCCGGCTGGCAGAGCCTGTTGGGTGGCTTTGGCTGTTCCAGCGCGGAGCCGCCTGGGAATGCCGGGCTTGGGAATGCCGGGCCGGGAACGCCGGGCCAGGGCCGGGAGCGACGGAGCGCCCGGAACGGGGCCGGGGACAAAGTCACCGCATTGTCACCTCCCCGCGACCGAGGGGTCACAGCGGGGGGATCACATTCCTGCCATCCCATCCAGGGGGGGCGGGACGACACGGTTGGCACGGCCCCGCCATGGCAGGGCCACCCCTGGGGACATCCCTGTCCCTGCCACCCCCGGGGACATCCCTGTCCCTGCCACCCCTGGGGACATCCCTGCCCCTGCCACCTCTGGGGACATCTCTGCCACCCCTGGGGACATCCCCGTCCCTGCCACCCCCGGGGACACGAGCCGTGCCCTATTTTGAAGCCACAGAGATAACGTGCCCGTCCCCAGAGCGCTGCCCTCATCCGGTGTCACCCCGTGACAGGGGTGCTGCCATGGAGGTGGCACTGCCACCAAGGTGACACTCCAGCCTGGTCCTCGCCAGGGGCTCGGGGACATCACCACAGCGAAGGCCAGAGGGTTTTGCTGTGTGACAGGGGGGTGACACCGAGGCCCTGCCTCGTCCCTGGTGCCCCTCAGAGGTGGCACAGCCTGAAGTGGGCACACCCTGACGGGTGGCACCTGTCCCCACCCTGAGGGTGACACGTGTCCCTGTACAAGTGCCCTGACAGCACGACAGGACCCTGTAGGGCCACCAGACCCTGGTGTCCTTGGCAGGGACACTTGATGGTGTGGCACCTGTCCCTGTGCCACCACACACACCTGAGGGGTGGCACCTGTCCCCCACACGGACACCTGTGTCCCCTGTGTGACCACACACACCTGAGGGAGTGGCACCTGGCCCCACAGGACCAGGGACCCCTCGAAGGGGTGGCACCTGTCCCCCTGCGATCACCACACTTTGGTGACAGGGACACTTACACATGTCCCTGTAAGACCATGGACACCTCAATGGGGTGGCCCCTGTCCCTGTAAGACCACGGACACCTCAATGGGGTGGCCCCTGTCCCTGTATGCCCACAGACACCCCAATGCAGTGGCACCTGTCCCTGTGTGACCAAGGACACCCCAATGGGGTGGCCCCTGTCCCTGTATGGCCACAGACACCTTAACATGGTGGCACCTGTCCCCACACAGCCAAAGATGTCCCGACACTGTGGCACCTGTCCCCGTGTGACCATGGCCACCCCAGTGGTGTGGCCCCTGTCCCTGTATGGCCACAGACACCCCAAGGTAGTGGCCCCTGTGCCCACACCACCACAGGCACCTCAGTAGTGTGGCACGTGTCCCCCACACAACCAGGGACACCTGGACAGTGTGGCACCTGTCCCCACATGAGCAGGGACACCTGATGGAGTGGCACCTGTCCCCATATGACCAGAGACACCTGGACAGCGTGACACCTGACCCCTTATGACCTTACAGCTCGTGACAGGTGTAGTGGCCCCTGTCCCCACACGGCCACGAGCCCCTGCAAGGTGTGCCACACGTCCCCATATGGCCACGGACACCCCTGCAGCGTGACACGTGTCCCCACAGGAGCGTGGTCATGACAATGGCGTGGCACGTGTCCCCATATGGCCACAGGCACCCCAATGCAGTGGCCCCTGTCCCCATACAATCAGAGACACCTCAACAGAGTGATACCTGTCCCTGTGTGACCAAGGACACCCCAATGGTGTGGCCCCTCTCCCTGTATGGCCACAGACACCCCAAGGTAGTGGCATCTGTCCCTGTAGGACCAAGGACACCTCAACATGGTGGCACCTGTCCCCACACAGCCAAAGACACCCCAATGTAGTGGCGCCTGTCCCTGTAGGACCAAGGACACCACAATGGTGTGGCACCTGTCCCTGTATGACCATGGTCACCACAGTGGTGTGGCACCTGTCCCCATACAATCACAGACACCCCAATGCAGTGGCACCTGTCCCTATGGTCACCACAATGGTGTGGCACTTGTCCCCATATGACCAAGATCACCCCAATGCAGTGGCACCTGTCCCCATACAATCACAGACACCTCAACACAGTGGCACCTGCCCCCATATGACCAAGGACACCCCAACACAGTGGCACCTGTCCCTGTGCCACCAACCCTCCCCCTCCGACATCACAGCCCCTGTCCCTGCACAACCCCCCCAGATGTGTCCCACCAAAGAGGGGTGGCTTCGTTTTGGGGTATTTTGGGGTGGCTCTGTTTTGGGGTGGCTCCGTTTTGGGGTGGCTCCCAGGTGACACCAGGTGAGGTGACAGCCCCCACCCCCAGCTGGCACCAGGGTGCCCATCCCTGCACGTCCCGGGGTCGCAGCGGGATTTTGGGGCAGGAATAAACCCTTCACCCCCCAAAACCCACCCGGTCACCCCAACCCGCGGGCACAGCGGTGTGTGTGGGGGGGGTGACACCGGGAGGGGGGGTGGTGACACGGGGGTGGGCGGTGACACGGGATCCGCCCCCCCCGGACCCGCCCCTCCGTTGGGATAATGGGATAATTAAGGAGAAAACACGAGGGACTCTCGGGGTGGGACCCCCCCGGTGACCCCCGAGGGCAGAGGGGGGGGTGGTGGCGGTGCCAGGGAGGTTTTTGGGGGTGTCCCCAAGCGCAGGACACCCCCCCCTCCAGATCCAGGACCCCCCCTTGTCCCCACCCTGTCGCCGCTCCAATGTCACCGCGGCCGCACCTGTCGCCGGGCGGTGGCGCAGGGACACGGACCCCCCCCCAAAAAAAACCCCAAAAAAACCTGCCGGGGAGGGGGCGAGGGACCCCCCAAACCTCCCGAGTGGGAATAAGGGACCCCCCGAACCGCCCGGGTGGGTGTTGGAGGGGTGGGGGGACCCCAAACCCCCCCGGGAAAGGTGGGAAAGGAGGGGCGGGACGTGCCGGGGGGGGGG